CCCATGACCTTGGAATAGAAGCCGACCTGGACAGGGCGGAAGAAGAAACACAATTCAACACGCAGAGTGGTAAGGGAACAAAATACTATTCGAAGAAAATAGCTTAACTTGATATTTTGCAACGTTCAAGTAATATCAAATGTGAAAAGCCGTGTTCTTGGGTGAAAGGAGTTCGGGCGTTTCAAAATGTAGACGGGCGAAGAAAAAAAGCTAAAAATAACCCGGGGTGCAGCGTCATGAGAGCTGTGTCTCATTCGTCTATTGGGCCTCCCTCGGACACGCAAAAAAACACACTTGCCCGTTTACCTATCGCTGGAACGCACGATGCCTGGCCTTTCTAACGGCTGCGACGACGGCGAATAGTAGCAACAGCGGTAGCAGAAGTGGCACCATATTTATACGTCGCGTGAATGCGTCGATTTGCAGGTCGCGGAAGAAGGATCCATTGGCGGCTACCCAAAAGCACGACGAATAAAGCAAGCGCCGAGGTGTTTTCCGCTGGTAGGGGTGACAACAAAGGCGATCACCCGGGTGCGTGATGAGGCGCTTTCGTGCATCGCCGTTTTTTTTTAGGGTGTGTGTGAGAGAGGTGCCATGGGCACCGGCATGTTATCAGGAACACGCTTTCCAACGATATTGGATCGCAGAGCATGGCAATCGTTCCTATAGGTGTGTGCACCCCCAAACAAAAGAAAGCCCAATGCAGGATGGGATAAAAGGAGACCGCAGTGACTCAAGCACCCCAATCTATTGTATGCCGCTCAAAACCATGCACACCAATGCTCGTCACAGGAATAATAGAGGTCAGAAAGACTTACCACGTCACGCGCGAGAAGGTCGAGTTGGGCTAGCTCCAGATTGTTGTGAGAAGGCGCACGCACAGCGCATGACAGGTGTGACGCCACCTGTATCAGCTTCTGAAGCACCTCGAGCGCCTTCTCGTCTGTCCCCCGAATGTCTTTCAATTCGGCGATGTCCTGCCTCTTCATGTACTTCTGCGAGGGTGCAAGTTTCGTCGACAAATCGCCACAGGAATAGGTTCGGAGGGGGGGTTAATCCGGATATTGTACGTCGCTTCGAGAATAGGGCGGAGAGGTACCGGGTTGCACATGTCGCCCCGTGCTTGCAGGGTGCTAGCAGAGGAGGACTATGGGTGCCGTGCCTCAAGCTTCACCAATGCCGCGGAATGGGAGGGGCGGCGTCCCCCTGTCTCGCACGCCCTAGTTGTTACTGCTAGACTATTAATTGACCACGAGTACTCGGGAGGACCGATCACCGATGGCGAATCGTTCCTGCTTACTTGCCGAATGTGGTTCACAATCCCATCAACATTACTTCCCGCCTTGTCAGCCCCATTCCTGTGCCCCAGGATAGCTACCGCCTCTCGTGCTAAATTCCATGCCTCAAACATGTCTCTGTACCTTCCTCCTATTTCGTCCAGCCCAGCCATGTACATTTATCTGTATCTTTTTCGTAAGACGGACCATCAGCAACCATCATGTCGTATACGTACTCTCCTATTCATACGGTACGATCAACACAAACCAGAGGTCTCCTCCCCCCTCCGGGCGCTAATGTGAAAAACCTCACCATGGCTCCGACGTTTGCAAGAATCGGTCGGAAGACGAGTAGCATGATGGACTGCAGTGTCCACTAGTTGCTCCCAGTGAGAGACGAGTAGTTGGACACGATATCCTTGAGACGCTCCGTGCCAGCTGGGTATAGCAGAGAAGGGTTCTGAACCACGACCACCGAGACCAGCCGTCGACCCTGAGTTAACATTTCGAGGCAGGAAACTTGGCACAGCTGGCAGGACCCCTGCAAAAAAAAAACAACACACACGGTTCGTGTGTTGTACTTATCGTTTGAAAGAGACACGATCAACCGTGTCGCCATTGGAGGCCGAACTACTCGAGGGAGACACGACACAACGCCCTGGCAACAAACACCCGGAGATTCCTAAATCAATCGCGAACNCGCCATTGGAGGCCGAACTACTCGAGGGAGACACGACACAACGCCCTGGCAACAAACACCCGGAGATTCCTAAATCAATCGTGAACGGACATTGGGGTGTTTAACCGAGGTTACCTATTTCCGGCACGGCAAACATTGCGCTACCCTTGTCCGTTCCGCATTCGATATAAAACTTTCACCAGGGCATCGAAGTGCAGCCGCTCCACAGGGACAACCGCGGTGGGGGCGGTGAGCATTGAGTCGTACATGGGCGGGGAGGGGCCGTTGGAGTCTTTGACAAGCCCCAGTACCATCGATTGTCGAGACTGCTCGACGGGGTTGTCTGCGAGGGACTTAAGCGTATCGAACCCGGCCGTGATCTGGTCCCAGATACGTCGATTTGCTTCGACTCCGTACTGGGCATCTCCCAGGTCCCCCCCGGAAATGTTGTCGCGTTGCTCAACCATGCAGTACGGACACGGGAACCCCGAGAAGTTGTTGCATGCTTTGGAGCCGAGCACTTTAGCCCGACCCGGCCCGTCCCCGACCCACAGGAGCAGACCCCCCCGCACAAACACCTGTCGTGAAGGTAGGGCGTTAGTGTGAACGCCAGGTATTCGTGGACTGCGACACAAAAAATTCGACGGAAGCCCTTGTACACCACCCAGTCATACTTCGCACGCCATGACCCGTTGGCATCAAAACAATTGTTCATCATCCATTGGGGCGAAAAAAATGTTTTTGGGTAAAGGAACGGTCCGCAATGTTTTTGAGGCAGGGGGTATGGATCCTCCACAGGAAGGAAGCTCGATTCCTGTTAATTGATACTTGATGTTCCGGTCAAATCGTCTGCTACCTGCGACCACACCTCCTCAGACAGCAACTAGAAAGGGCCGGCGAAGCACACCCAGCAACAGGACGTGACGATGGCGTCTGTCTGCCTCCTTCGTCTCTCACCGGAGTCGAGAGTCCTTGTTTGGATAAACCCAGCAACACATAACAATACCCACGAGAGCCAGGCATTCCGAAGCAACAGCGTTCGCAGGAAACGCAAAACACATTTGCGCATCAAGAGGAACACTTTCGACTCCTGGGCAACACCCACGCGTTCCCGTACACCCCGAGCAATGCAGAGCCCCACTACAAGTAGCGGGTTGCAGCAGTAAGATTTCTGCGGCAAAGACGCCGCTAGCGTGCAAGCATCACACATGCAGGCGCATCACCGTAAAAACCCATATGAGAAAAAAGGGCAATACTCCCCGTATATGACATCAGGGAGACATCTGTCTGCGGTTTATGCGGAAACCGGTACTACACCAACCATGACAATATCGGCCACATCCTCTAGCGTCGTCCCCGCGAGCAAGTCGCCAACTCTCGACTGGGAACCTCGTGGGTCATTCTTGTATTGGGGG